CTCCTTCCCCGGAGGTGGGTCCCCGACAGCGTAGCCCCACTGCGGGCCTCCCCACGCGGGGCCGTCGAGGCCAGAGTGGCTTCGGAAGTCTAGCTGTCACCCCTTCATGTGCTCTCGGGTCACCAGCCAGCCCTGTCCCCGAAGATCGTGAGTCCCAGGAGGCGGGGGTCAGGGGTCAGGGGTCAGGGCCTGGCTGCCACGCCGCGTGTGACAAACACTCAGAACGTGGCCTAACCACGGGGTGGCTGGTCACGCTAAGGCTGCTCTGTGGGGCGGGGACGGCTCCCTCAGCTTGCACCTCGTTCACGAAGGCCCAGGTGCTGCCACAGCTCCGGCCACGGCCTCCACGTCCCGCCAGCAGGAGGAAGGGGGAGGGGCCTTCTCGTTAAGGATGTGCTCGGGCTGCCCGCCAGGGCCATTCATACCCAGTGGCCAGGACGTGGTCCTGGGGACATGGTTGGCGGTCCTGCAGGGGCGGTGGGACGATTCTCTATCTTGGGGACGAGGTGCTGGGCATTGGAAATGGTGGCCGCTCCCTCGACTGTCATCAGAGGGGCTTTGGGGATGCGAGGGCTCAAAGGGGGTCTTCTGAAGAGCCGGGATCGCTCGGGGACATGTGGGCGTGTCGGGGATCCGGGCACAAAGCCCCCCTCTGTTCCCTCTCCCACAGGGCAGCACGCTGCGGAAGCGCAAGATGTACGAGGAGTTCCTCAGCAAGGTCTCCATCCTCGGTCAGTCCAGCCCCCCGTCTGGCGGCCGCTTCCGTGGTCTGGGTGCTGGGCAAGGCGGGCGCACACGTCTCAGCCACATGTGCATGCTCACAGATGTGCGCCTGTGCACAGCACGAGTATGTGCGTGCACACACCTGCCCACATGCATATGCACACACCTGCATGTGCGCACATGCATGAACACACGGACACACGTGTGAACACACTGCTGTTGGTCAGAACCAAGCCATCTCTGTCTGCAGGCGTGTTTGCTGGTCTGCCTGTCCCTCCATGGTCAGTACCATGGTCTCCAGCTCATCCTCCAACTCTGAGCATCTGTGCCAACAGCTCCCGGCACCCCCTGACCCAGGGCACCCCCCTGACCCAGGACACCCCCTGACCTAGGGCACCCCCTTACCCAGGGTACCCCCTTACCCAGGACACTCCCCTGACCCAGGACACTCCCCTGACCCAGGGCATCCCCTGACCCAAGGCACCCCCTGACCCAGGGCACCCCCCTGACCCAGGACACCCCCTGACCTAGGGCACCCCCTTACCCAGGGTACCCCCTTACCCAGGACACTCCCCTGACCCAGGACACTCCCCTGACCCAGGGCATCCCCTGACCCAAGGCACCCCCTGACCCAGGGCACCCCCTGACCCAGGGCTGGTTGAAAGGGTGGCCTTTGCACGTGCCGCACTGACAGGAGTTTTAAGCGGAGAGAGCGGGCCCCTAACCCAGATCTAAAATAGAGGCTCTGCATCGTATTTTTAGCCGCTGACCCACATCCGTGCGTCTGGAAGCCCAGGCGGGGAAGTTTCTTTTGCCAAAAACAGTTAATCAGGCAACGGCATCTCCTTTAAAGGGAGCCCGTGGGGTTTCCTTCCTGAGGGTCAGAGGGGACCACGCGGGGGGGACAGGTGCACCCAGCCTGCAAGCCTTGAAGGCACACGTGGCTTTGCAACCAGGTGCTTTGCCCTGAAGTGTGGCTGTGCCCTGGGCCTCAGTGTGGCCACGTAAACCGCCGCGTCCTCTGCGCACGGGCGCACGCTGTCCGAGCAGCGGGCATCGCTCGGTCCTGTCAAACCCATCAGCCCTCACGTGAGCCGTGGTTCTGCTTGCAAAGTGCAGCAGCTCTATTCGCCCGGAGACCCGGAGAGCATTTAACACTCATGAGCTCAGACTCGGGGACGGGGCGTGTGGCCTGTGGCGTGTGGCCTGTGGCGTGTGGCGTGTGGCGTGTGCTGGAGCAGCACATCTGAGCCACGTCCCGCGAGACCGGTCTGTGCATCCGGCCCCTCAGCCTCTTCCTCGGGTTCCCTCGCACAGATCTCACCGTGGGCTGGGGGCGGGGTGTCTGAGGTGACATTGGGGTGACGCTGCCGCCCCCCCAGAGTCCCTGGAGAAGTGGGAGCGCCTGACGGTGGCCGACGCCCTGGAGCCCGTGCAGTTTGAAGACGGGGAGAAGATCGTGGTGCAGGGGGAGCCCGGCGACGACTTCTTCATCATCACGGAGGTGAGTCCTGCCGCACGCGGGGGGGCG